ATAAAATATAAATAATATTAATGGAAATTATGATGATGAAAGTGTGACTGCGGGACTTGTGATGTGTTATAGGTAAGATTGTTAAGATTGTTAAAATTTTCATAGAAACTTGTATTTGCAAAATATTTAATAGTTTTTTGATACTCATGTAGCCTTATTATAATTATTTGTATTACTTGCAGTGTTTTATGATTGAGCCAGTAATTGAAATTGAATCAAAGTGATATTTATGAGAATTCAAAATGATTATTGAACAAAATGTGTTATAGAAATATTGAAAATGATATAATGATAATGGAAATGTAAATTACAATTACAATGACAATGAAAACGCAATAGGACTTCTGATTACAAGGTAAATTTATACATTATCTTTAAAATTTGTATAAAAATTTAAAACATTTACAATGCGTGGATTTGATTAGTTGATGTTGATTTAGCTTGTGATTGCGTAGTATATTCTAAGATTTTAGCTCAGCATTATGATTTTCTACTTAGGGAGCAGTATGATTTACACCCGATCCCTACATGATGTTACATCAATAATTTAATCTTAATATTGATCATGTAACTTTTTCCCACATTTGCATAATTGAATTTATAAATAGGTAGTCTCTATTAACGTAGCCCAGTTTTAATAGGACTATTGAATTTTACAGTTGCCTTGTTAGTAAATAAATACATAGTTAGGTGTACAAATAGCTCACACAGTTCATAATTTCCGTAAAAGCACGGTAAAAACATTGAGAGAACGAGACTTGTATATTTACAAAAAAGTTTCGAGAGTCTCCAGATTATGAGTGATTTTTAAAGTAATATTGTAATATTTTATAATGTTTTCATTACATCGTCTCATATTCAACGCACCACTCATATTTTTTTTTGTACATTGCTTCGTAAACTAACGTAGTGTAAAACCAGCATTATACAGTCAGTTATAGTATATAGAAGCAACGAACAGAGGAGGATGAGGAGAGAGAAAGAGGGGGACACACATTCCCACACACACGTACGTGCGTACAGAGTGAACAGTGAACTGAGAAAGAGACGTGTGTATATACAGCCAACGTGATGTAATGCAGAAGAGAAAATGAGAATGTGCGTCTGAGGCTGTGAGAGGTGGAGGAAAGTATACATGTATGTATGTTCGGAGCAGGGGATGAGGCCGTGTGATGGAGAAGGGCGTAGGTGAAGCGAGAGGAGCTATTCCCCTTCGCTCCGCCTATATAGGTATCACTTTTTTCTCTGTACACACACCCACGCGTAGAGCAGATTGAAAAAAAAGTGTACACCAGCTCGTTCACCTATTTTATAATACCAGCATCACATGCGCTCGTGTTGGGTCCAGAGCCTGAGTAAACATATATGTGTATGCTTACCTGTAACCACAGCGTGTATCTGTTTCTTTTCCTGAGTAATACGTACAAATTGTGTGAATACGAGAATTATATTTTTCAAAGTCAATTGCCTTACGCGTCTTGTTATCTCGAAAGGTACATTCTTCGTTGGTTATCGGCCAGCCCGACGAACCCGCTGCGTATATATTTGAAGTGAGATTTCTCAAATCACGTTATTTGTTCTTTTTTTTTTTTTTTTTTTAACGTTTCAATTTTATCGGTTTTCAAAATAAATTTAGAGATTTAATGAGTTAGCGCTGCAAAGACCAAGTGTACAAAGGTACTTGTTAAAAAAAAAATTTTGTACGTTAAAAAAATATTTCTTGTTCCGTTTATTCAATTGTATTTGAAAATTTAAACGTTGATGTGGTGTAGAACAGATTTTTCAAATTTTTCAGTCATTCGCTTTTAATTTTCCTGGATCTTTGTCTACCTCTACATCATTTTTCTCTTTTTTTTTCATAATCCATCAAACGTCGCGACGTTACTACGCTCGTCGCCCTTTTATCTTTGCCCACACGTCTCTATCAAAACAGCACATTGCGTTCCAAGAAAAAAAACACTATGACGACGATTGTGTGAATGTGTGGATTAGTTTTTTGCTATTGTGTAAACAATGATAAAGGCGTGAATACACCATTAGAAGTTCGTCTTGATGTCGAAAGTTTTAAGATATTTAGGCCTGGTGGTTTAGATAGCAGCAAATTTTTCAGTTCGTAGATCAAATATATTTTTTTACAAAGAAAAGATTTTTGTTGTTGCATCAGATCGAGATGATAAGTAGGTGGATTTTGTGATACTTATTAAGATATAAATGTTAACTAACACTTTTCAGAATGAGTTGATGGATCAATAGATTTCGAAGTGACAGAAATACCAATTTAAGCAGTTTCAAGCTAAAAAAAAAAATTTATTTATCACTTCAACACCGTCAAAATTTATTTTTTTTTTTTATATATTTATTTTTTTTTTACAACTGAGGTATTCACTCAATCAACTACAACTTAACTTATAAATTAATTTGAAATTATATAACGAGAAATAATACGTTACGTTGTAGTTAAGATACAATTATTTTTGAATAATCAATGCAAGTAATTAATTAATCTGTTTGTAAAACCATGACACGAAATGGTTCTCTCCTGTCAAAATTGATCAAACAAAATAATCGTACAATCCAAATCAATCTTACACGATATTCAATTTCGAAATGACGAAATTCGATTATTAAAATAGAACTAATAGTTTGCTAAAGCCATCGGATAGTGAAATTACTCGAATTTTCAAACAACAATAATTGGTCCAACAGCTCGTTGCAGAAGTAATTGATCATGCAGATATAGAATAATTTATCATAGTTATGAACGGATATTCTCCATATGCTTAAATTTACTAATAATGAAGTATTAGCGTACGTACGAACAAGTCATACATAATCTCTATTTTAATCATCCTATGAACATATACAAATTTACTTATCTGCTTTCATTATATGTTTGAAATTTATTTATTATTAGATTAAATTCATACATAAATTTATATCTGAGAGTTTCACAATTTCGAATGAATAAAAATGTCCTAGGAAAAAACAGTAATTTATTTGAATTTAATATTCAGGTTTTAGATATGCGATATTACAAACGTGATATGAAAATAAAAACAAGGGTTGTACCGACCACAGAAACAGGTGTGATTTAGCTGTTACTTTTTACATATCCAGATAACGATACTACAGAATACAACTCTCTATCAGCGATCATTTTGAATGAATAACGCCAAAGTATTATTTCATAGGTTCACTTGCTTGGACTACGTACTTTCTTAAACCTTTTAATCATTTTTTTTTTAGTTTTTGATCAAAAGATCCAATAAATAGAGTAGCATTACCCGTTAAATGTTAGGTTCCAGCCCTGCAAACACAAGGCCAGAACCGAATATGCAGCCACTAACTGATCAATCAATGCCTTCCCCTCTAACCCCGTTCTTCCGTTCCTATCTTCTCAATTAGGTACCCTTGTCTACATACCTTTGCACTTTCACTCTCCTCAGCTCTTCACACGAATTTCCCTTCATACAGATAGAGCATAATGTATAACAAAGTGATGTACATCCTCTTTTCTCGTTTTGAGCCTCTTACCACCCAGTCTCGGTGATTCTCTAGTCCACCGACCTGCTTGAACGATTTGGCAGAGTCAGCTCCTTGTTCTCGCTCCGTCTACCATTTGACGATTTTTTTATTTTATTCTTTTCTCGACTCTTTTCTTGGTGTCGAGAAATGTAAACTGCCTGGTACGTTTTATTTGATTATTCACTTTCTA